GTGGCGGGGGCGGCGGAACGTGGGCGTCGCCGGTCTCTAGCGCTGCCTCTTCCTGTCCGTCACCCGGGCCAGGTTCCAGGCCTGCGGTCCGGGAATTGGGGGGTTTCTCGCCCGGCTTGTGAGGGTGGGACGGGACCTCGGATGGGGTCCGGGGCAGACGCGGGCGCTCTGGAGACGGCCGCAGCGCTGCGGTGTGGACCGCTCCGAGGTGGCGGCTGGGGACAGTTTCTCACGCGCTCGCTCAGGTCTGATGCCCGTGGTGTCTTGGAAGCAGCAAGGTTTTTGAGCCGGCGCCGCGCTCCCTGGAGCTCAGCGCGCGAGGAGGACGTCTCCGTGCGGCTCGCTGCGGCGCTGCTGCGCGGACTGCGCAGGGGCCTCTGCGAACCGCGGCCTCGCTTTCTGAGTTTGCTTATTCTGGGTACCTCGTATCCGTGGAATTGTGGAATGTTTGTCCTTGTGTGTCTGGTTTATTTCACTTTGTACTGTCAGTGTGCATCGGTCCTGTAGCATACATCAGAACTTCATTTCTTTTTAAAGCCCGCTAATATTTTGTTTGTATTGAGCACATTCTGCTCATCTGTTCATCCATCCATTCTCTTTTTGGCAATTATGAAAATGTCCGCAGTGAGTATTAGTGTACAAATACCTTTGAGTCGCTTCTGTTTTTGTCCTTTTGAGACAGGGTCTCGCTGTGGCAGTTCAGGCTGGCCTTGAGCTCACTGTGTAGCCCAGGCTGCCTGCCTCAGCCTCGCAAGGGCTGGGTTTACAGAGGTGCGCTACCACGCCCGGAGTGTCTTACATGTAACATTCTCTTAATGTAATTTTCATAAACTAGGGCACGAGAGTAGTCTGTTGATAAAAGAGTTCATACTCTGACAACTTGAGATCAGCTTTATTTGGATTTATAAATAGGCTGTGTGGAGTGGATTATTTTAACTGAAAACAAATTATAGGTGTTTATATTTCATTTTTAGTTCGTTTTTCATTTTGTGGCCTTTTGACCATTTTTCTGTCGTGCTGTTTCTTACCAAAGACGATACATGTATGTGTGTATGCATACAGATTTTTATTTGTGCAAGCGATGTACTTTTCTTTTTAAAAACAAGATTACTTACAGGTTTATTGCTGTCCTGTCATTGTTAATATATGTTAATATTCTCTGTTCTTTTTCTTTCTTTTTTATTTTCCCCCGGGTATCGGGAATCGAACTCAGGACCTGTGCTTGTCAGGCTGGTACTGTGCCCCTGAGCTAAATTCCCAGCCCCTGTTCTTATTCTTTTAATGTTTTAAGTAATTATCGTGGCTGTGTATTCATATATGCAAGTTTTGCAATCAGCAAATTTTTCTCCCATTGTTGCTTTGTCTTGCTAATTATCATTCCAAAGGGATGACAACATGTTTTTATTTATTTATTTATTTATTTTTGGTCTTTTTGAGACGAGGTCTTGCTATGCAGTTCTGGATGGCCTTGAGCTCACTGTGTTGCCCAGGCTGGTCTGGAGCTCGCAGCTGTCCTCCTGCCTCAGCCTGCAGAGTGCTGCGATTACAGGCTTTTGCCACCACGGTGTGACAGTTAATGTGTTCTAACTAAAGAGGCTACATACGTTTTTCTTTGGGACAGGGTCACACTAAGTTATCCAAGCTGATCTTGAATTTGCAGCCCTCCTGTCTCCTCCTGAGTAAGTGGTTTACAGATGTCTAGTGCTTACCCAGCTTTAAATGTTTTGATTAAGAATTGGCAAATTGATGTTTTTTGTTTTGAGGGGCTTTTTGGGCAGTGGTAGAGATAGAACCCAGGCTTCCCACGTGCTAGGCAAGTGCTGTAGCACTGACCTTACCCCAGTTGAACTTGCTAGTTAAGGGTATTGGTTTGCAAGCATTATTGCCATGTTGGGCATTATCATTATTTTGTAATTGTAATTTTTTGTAATAATAAAGTTCATGTTTTACCTTAACTCTCGTTACATACATGGGTTGACCTGTATTATTTGTGGGTTCTGTATTTGTGAATTTGCTTAGTAGCTAAAATTTATGTGTAACCCCAAAGTAAATCCGTTGTTCTCCTGCCATCATCTAGGAGGTGTCAAATGGTTCGGTTTGAGTTTCTGGACACACATTACCAACAGAGGTGGTACAGGGTGTCATTCTGTCCTCTTTTTTTAACATATATTGTAAGCAAATTCTTGTCATGGTCTGCTTAGTGCCATGATTTTTGTTCTGTTTTTTTGGTAATTTGGTAGCTTAAAGTGGTCGCCAGGTATAGGGTGGAAACTTGCGCTGGTGTTCTTGAAGCACAGGACAGCTGTGATTGGCTCATACATCCTGTGTCCCTCCTTCAGGCCACCAACAATACATCCTAGATAAGGTGCCTTTAAACAAAGCAGGGCCGGGGATATAGCTTAATGGCACAAGCGTCTGCCTGACAAGCACAGGGTCCTGAGTTCGATTCCCGATACCAAAAAAAATCAATAAATATAAAGCAAAGTAGCGTACTATTCATTTTATGAAAATGTTAGACCTGGGGCTCCCTGAGCCCAACCCTTCCTCTGACCTATGACCAATGTTTCAGTATTCAAGGACACTTGATAAAATGGTGCTCTCAGTAATGAGAGTTGAGAGGCTGTGAGTATGGTTCAGTGCTTGCCTGCGTGTGTATAAGGCTGTGGGTTTGATTTCCAATACTGGGGGAAAATACTAGAAAATTGACTGTAGGTGTAATTGTCTCTATTGCTTGTCAGAGCTTGGGTTCTTGGATCTCTCAGTGCCTGGCCCCACTGTCTGACGCATTTAAGGATCTAAATAAATGTTTGATTGAATGAATAAATACTTTCTTAAGGGTTGTATTGTGAGTTTTATGTTCCCCTCTTTGCTTCTGTACTGATTTAGTCTGGTTTTTTTTTTTGGTATCACTTTGTAGGAATTCTTTATATAAATAAATACCTGTCTTATTCTTTTATAGGTCTGGGATAAAAGCGAAAGTGGAGATTGGCATTGTACAGCCAGCTGGAAGGTTAGTATTTTCACAGTACTGTACTTAAACATTGAAATATTTACCATTTGGTAGTATGAACAACTTACTGCTCAGCTTTGATAAGTTCGTAACATTTATATGTATTCTTTTCCTGGAAAGGTATTTTACATTTTTTCATTGTTAAAGTATAAAAGTACAGAGAATTTGAGTGTAAGAAAATCTGTAATTTTGTAACATTGCAGTGTAACTATTCTTGGCATTGTAGCCTGCTTCTTTACCATTTCTATGTATTTTTAACATTTACAGTGTTTGATAGATAGCTCTGTGTACCCCACCCCCAGTGCTTGGGACTGGACCCTGGATCTTTGCACTGAGCTGCGTCTCCAGTCCTTTTGCTCTTTTATTTCGGGAAGGAGTCTTACTGAGTCAGTAAGTTGCCCAGGCTGGTTTGAACTTACTATCCTGCCTCAGCCTCCAGGAGTGCTGGGGTTGCAGGCATGCATCACACACCTGGTTTAGATAGTTTTACTTCTTGATTTAAAAAAAAAAAAACAAAACTTAGAATTTCTTGAACCTTAAAGCCATCAATTGTATTTATTTATTTATTTATTTATGGCTTTTTGAGACAGGGTCTCACTATGTAGTTCAGGCTGGCCTCAAACTTGGAGTAATCCTCCTGCCTTAGCCTCCCAAGTGCTGGGATTACAGGTGTGTATCACCATGCCCTGCTGATCAGCAGTTTGAAATGTGTAGTTCAGTGAGTTTTACTAAACTTTGAAGAATTGCTTGTCCATCACTACAGTCCAGTTCTAGAGCACTCTCATCAACTTGGGAATTTCTCTTGTGCCCATTCGGAGTCAGTCCCTATTCCTGCTCCAGGCCTGGGCACCCATTGAACAGTCTTCTGTCTCTACAGTTTTTCCCTTTGTTAGGAACTTTGCGGGTTGTCCTTTGTGCCTCACTACTTTCCCGTAGAATGTTTTTTTTGTTTGTTTGTTTTGTTTTTTTTCCAGTACTGGGAATCGAACTCACGACCTTTCGCTTGCCAGGCAGGCGCTGTGCTGCTGAGCTAAACCCCCAGCCTCCCGTAGAATGTTTTTGAGGTTCACCTGTATTGTTGACACCTGTATGGGTCATGTGTCAGTAATTTGTTCCTTTAGAATGCTGAGTCCGCTGTATAGGTGCCCTATTTTGTTTATGTACTCACCAGCTAATGGACACTGACTTGTTTCTGGCTATCATGATTTTGTTTGTGGTAGTCAGCTTCATGGTGCTGTAACATAATACCTGAAACAAACCTCCTTGCAAAGAAAAGAGTGAACCATGCCGGTAGGCCCCTGGCTTTGGGCCTATGGTGAGGTTGTGCTTAGTGGCAGGAGTATGTGGGAGAGCAAATCTACTCCCCTCACGGCCGGGAGCAAAGAGGGAGTGGAGGGGCTCTGGGTTGAAGCCCCATGGCAGGAAAGCTTCCTTCTCTGGGCTGTGGAGGATGTCCAGGGCCCACACTGTGATAGTGCTGTGAACAAGTCCTACAGTTTTGTGCAGATGTGTTTCCATCTCCCTTGGGCGGAATTTCTGGGTTGTGTATTTTAAACTTTCTTGCTTTTTTTTTTTGTTACATTGGGTGGAACTCAGAGACTTCATACTGAACTGCATCCCCAGCCCTTTCTTATTTTGAGACAGGGTTTTGCTGAGTTACTAAGTTGCCTGGGTTGACCTAGAACTTTGCACCCTTCTGCCTCAGTCTCCCAGTGTGCCCCCATGCCCAGCATCTATTTTAACTTTTAAAATGTTGCCAAACTCTTTTCTAAGTGGCAGTGTCATTTTCTTTCACCACAGGCAATACATGAGGCATCCAGTTTCTCTAGTTCTCCCTGATTTGATGTTATCTTTTTCTGTTACAGCCTTTTTGTTCATATTCTCTCCTACATTTTATATTATCTTTTTTTTTTTTGTCTTTTTGAGACAGGGTCTCGCTATGCAGTTCAGGCTGATCTTGAGCTCACATTGTAGCCCAGGCTGGCCTCCAACTTGCAGTGATTCTCCTGCCTCAGCCTCCGAGTGCTGGGATTACAGGCGTGGGCCACCATGCCCAGCTGGTTGGTATTTTTATAGAAAGAATTTGCCAGGAAAAAGGTGGTGGACCTGTAGAATGTTAGTAAGCTTCATTAAGCTAAACCCTGAAGCAAGTCTGTAGCTGTTCACACTGGAAGTAGCGCTGAACCAGCTGGGTTTTACTCTATCAGTAAAGTATTACAGTGACTTAACTCTACAAGGGCCATGTCCTAAGTATTGAGTATCTTCTAAAGTTTAAAATTTTTAGATTTAGGGCCAGGGATATAGTTCAGTGGTATAAGCGCCTGCCTGGCAAGTGCAAGGTCCTGAATTTGATTCTCAGTACCAAAAAAAAATTTTGAAAAAAAAATTTTTTTTTACTTTTATTCAAATGTGAAGTTGATCAGCTTTCTCCTCACACAGAAGTAAAGAATACTTGTGTTTTATTTCTTAAAGTAAAACCTTGGATGTGTGAAATAGAATAAACTGGAGTTTTGTGTTTTGTTTTTATTTCCCCAGACGCATAGTGGATCTGTGTGGCGAGTGACATGGGCCCACCCAGAATTCGGACAGGTTTTGGCTTCCTGTTCTTTTGACCGAACAGCTGCTGTGTGGGAAGAAATAGTTGGAGAGTCGAATGATAAGCTGCGTGGACAGAGTCACTGGGTGAGCCCTTGCCTCTGGGCAGGAACACTGGTCATCTGAGTGCCCCAGGCCCCTGGGGAATAGCACTGCTCTGCTGACTGGTTCCCCTGTTCTTTCTTCTGTTTTTCTCTTGCTAAATTGGGCCTGGGCCGGAACAGTACTCAGGAACACTTAGGGCAAGATCTAGTTAAAAAACTGGTGACATATCTAGAATATATGCTTTGTCTCTGATTTTATATTTTAGTATATTTTGTATGGTTTTATATGGTAATTTTAAGCTCCCTCTAAAAATCCTTGAACAGTTGTTTTTATGAGTTGTGCATGTGTGATTTTTGGGGGCCTTGCTTATGTTGACCACATGCCACTGAGCTACCCCCACCCTATTTTGTGGTTGCTTCTCTATTCTGAGAAAAATGTGCTCTCCCATATGTGTATCTCCTTTATGTTCCAGCTCTGCCTTGACTGGATGGTTCTACATGGGGACTAACCTGTGTGCTGCTCAGGCTCCTCCCTCATCTGCAGAGCAGAGGAATTGGGCTAGATCATCTCAGATGCTTTCTCTTTTTTTTTCTTGGCAATACTAGGATGTTAGCCAAGGGCTGTACCTTGGAGTTACATCCCCAGCCCTTTTTTTTTTTTTTATTTTGAAGTGATCTTGCTAAGTTGCCCAGGCTGGCTTTGAACTTGCAATCCTCATCCCTCAGCATCTAATTACCTGGGATGACTGGTGCATACCACCAGCCCATCCCTGCCCACCTTTTTTTTTTTAATTTTGAGACAGGATCTCGCTAAGTTGCCAAGTTATCCAGGATGGGCTCAAACTTGTGATTTTCCTGCCTCAGCCTTTCGGAGTGCTGGGATTATAGGCATATGTTATCATGCTCAGCTCCTGTCTAAAATGTTAATTGAAGACTTGCCTTTCATTTTCCATCAATGTTTTAGTTTTCCTGACAGATAACCATGCAGATGGTGTTTACCAAAGAGTGCTTGTGGTGAGATAGGCCCCTCCTCCCTGCTGCCCTGTCCCTTTCAGAGCAAGGGCCCTGCTGCAGGTGCTGTGTGTACTTGGGTGTGTTTTGCTCCTCACCAGGATGAGTGGTGCTTTCTCCACTCCTACCACTCATGTTTGCCTGCTGTTGGGGGTGCTTTTCCAGATGTGTTTTTTGGTAGTAGAATATATATAACATAACGTTCATTGTTTTAACTACAGTGGCAAGATTCAATGGTTTGCCAGGTGTGGTGGTGCACACCTGTTATCCTAGCACTGGGAGGCTAAGGTAGGAGAATTGCCTTGAATTCAAGGCTAGCCTGGGCTACATAAAGAGACGCTGTCTCAAATCCTCCTCTGAGTGCAGTGGCTTAAATTACATTCACGAGGCTGTGCATCTGTCTTAGTCACTTTTCTTTGTTTTGTTGCGTTTTTTTGTTTTTGAGACAGGGTCTCGCTCTGTAATTCAGACTGGCCTTGAACTGGCTATGTAGCCCATTCTGGTCTTAAATTCACGGCAATCCTCCTGCCTTAGCCTCCCAAGTGCTGGGATTACAGGTGTGGACCACCATGCCTGGCTGCTTTTCTTGTTGGGACAGAACACTGCATACTACACATGAAGGAGCAAATATGTATTTTGGCTCACAGTTCATAGAGGTTTCAGCCTACAGTGGCTGGTTCCAAGGCAGGGCAGTACGGCAGAGGAGACACAGCTTGTGACGTGGCAGGCAGGAAGCAGCAAGACTTCTTTCTCTTTTTATTCAATCTAGGCTGTAAGCTTATTGGTTGGTGCCGCCCAACACCCAGGGTGGGTCTTCCCTCTTTAGTAAACCCATCACCCACACGCAGAAGCATGCTAGCTGATCAGAGGACTAACCCTGTATCACATGCCCATGATCCAATCACTCCCAAAGCCCCAGCTATGAGTGCATGAGACTTTGGAGGGATACCTAGATACAAGCCAAGACAGCATCCGTCACTGTTGGCTGTATTCACAACTGTTCAGCACCCTCAACATGAAGTCTGTGCCGTTAAACAACACCTGTCCATTTTCCCTCGTCCTGGTAACATTTATTCTACTTTCTGCCTATGAATTTGTGTATTCTAGATTTCTCATATAAATGGAATTTGTTCTTTCGTGACTGGCTTATATAACATAGTTCATCCATGTTGGAGCATATATCAAGTTTATTCCTTTTTAATGGCCGGGTAATATCCCATTGTGTGTGTATATGCCACATTGTATTTATCCCCCGACGTGTAAGTGGACACTGCATTTTTCCCACCATTTGACTACTGTGAGCGTTGGTGAGCCATTAGGTGTCAGGATGGCTGGTTGTCTAAGGTGCCTGATTCAAGCTCCACTTGCGGTATCAGTCTGCTGTCATCTGTCTGTCCTTTGGAATAGATGCTTAGGAGTGGAATTAATGACAGTAGGCAGTTCTGTGTTCACTGCATCCCACAGTGCCTGATCATTTTGCTTTCCTGCCAGCAGTGTGCAAGAGGGTTGAGTTCCCATTTCTTTGTCAGCACTTGCTGTCTTCTGGTTTTCATGTTGGTAAGTGTTCTGCTGGGTGGGAAGTGGTGTCTTGAGCTCTTGACAGTGATCTCCCTAGCAGTTAATGGTGTTGACGATCTTTTCAGTTGCTTTTTGGCTAGGTGTATGGCTTCTGTGGGGAAAGCCCATTGTTCTTTTTTCTAGGTAGTGGACCCCAGCCTCACACATGCTTGGCAGACACTGCCACTCACCCACATCCCAGCCTTTCTTCTGTTTTCTATTGAGATGAAGTCTCGGCGGTGTTCCCAGGTTGGCCTTATATCATGATCCTTCTGTCTCAGTCTCCCATGTAGCTGGGATTATAAAAGTGTACCATGACATCTGGTTCTATTTTTTGATTGAGCAATCCTTGCCAGGCATGGTGGCACATGCCTATAATCCCAACACCTGGGAGGCTGAGGCAGGAGGAGCGCTGTAAGTTCAAGTCGGTCCAGTTACTGTGGTACTCAGCCCGTGTTCTCCACTTTGTTCAAGCAGCTGAACCTGCCTCGCCTCCTGAGTAGTCGCAGGTGTGCACCGCCATTCCTGGCCGAGTTCATTTTTTTATATACTGTAGTGTAAAACAAGGACTTAAGAGCTAGGTGTGGTGGCACATGCCTGTAATCCCAGCACTTGGGAGGCTGAGGCAGGAGGATTGTTGCAAGTTCGAGACCAGCCTGGGCTACAAAGTGAACTCAAGGCCAGCCTGAATTGCATAGCGAGACCCTGTCTCAAAAAGACAAAAAAAAGGTTTAAATTCATTGGATTGATATGTGGTTACTGTGTTTGGTTTTTTTTGTTGTTTCTTTCTTTTGTTTGTTTTGTTTTTTTGTTTTTGTTTTTTTCTGGTACCGGGAATCGAACTCATGACCTTGCGCTTGCCAGGTAGGTGCTGTGCCGCTGAGCTAAATCCCCAGCCCCTGGTATTGTTCTTTTAATACCAAAGCTCCTTAAGTATTTTGCTAATTATAAATGGTAAAGTGTTGGAGTTCTAAAATTTTTTGCACATCTTCCGTCAAATGTGTTGTTTAGTCTGGGTTTCAGAAAATGGCTTTAAATGTAATGTTGGAACATGTAATTATCACAGTGCCAGGTTCAAGTGGGATTAAAACATCAGTGTTTGAGAAAAATTGTAGGTCTTCTATTTACTGTTAAAGGATCTGAAGTCATTTAATTTACTGCTTGCAGCATTCCTTGCATGCCAGAGCTACTTCTGTGAAAATTCTAACATTTTCTGTTTTTTGGTTGTTTTTTTTGTCTTTTTGAGACAGGGTCTCCCTATGTAGTTCAGGCTGGCCTTGAGCTCACTTTGTAGACCAGGCTAGCCTCGAACTTGTGACGATCCTCCTGCCTCAGCCTCCCGAATGCTGAGATTACAGGCGTGCGCCACCACGCCCAGCACATTTTCTGGTTTTATGACCATTCTTACATAAGAAAAGTGGGCTTTCTAAGGCAGACAATAAAGGCAGTAGTTAATTACAGTTTGCTAAATTGTTAGTGATTATTATATATATGGTACTTTGCAAAGTGCTTTGTAGGAAGTTGAGACCTTGATGGGTTTTAAACAATCTACTCAAGATATATGCCTGGTAATTAGTAGAGGACTTTGTGTGATTGTAGAATCTGTTAGCTTTTGACTAACTGTTCTTTTTGTGTACAATTTAGTTTATTAGTGACTTTTTTTTTTTTTCCAGGTGAAAAGGACAACACTGGTGGATAGCAGAACATCTGTTACTGATGTGAAATTTGCTCCCAAGCACATGGGCCTCATGTTGGCCACCTGCTCAGCAGATGGAATAGTCAGAATCTATGAGGCCCCTGATGTCATGAATCTCAGTCAGTGGTCACTGCAGCATGAGATCTCTTGCAAACTAAGCTGCAGTTGCATTTCTTGGAACCCTTCAAGGTGAGCCTAGGTATCAAACCTCTGGTGCTATAATCCTGGTAAAACAAAGTAGTAATTTTTAAGTTAAGACTTTGATGGTATATTTGCTCAAAAAATAAAATGTTTTCTTAAATAAAATGTTATCTGAAATAAATTACCCTATTTTACCTTGCAGTATCTTTTGTCCTTGTGTTTTTTATTCCACAGGGGATGGCAGGCGTTGTAAATACTTTGGTGCAGGCTTTTTGTGAATTTTGTGTGTATGTATTAATGTATCCGTAAACAGTTGTATGCAAATACAGGCAGATGCATAGTAATACAGGTAGACACGGAACAGCAGACATGTATAAACTCATACATTTTCCTTTTTTTTGCTTACAAATACCTTATGTGTATTTTCTCATATTCATGTATCTATTCTTTTTATGTCATTCTCTCTTGATTTGCTGTGTAGATTGTGATCATGTGCATATGCCAGTTACTTTTTATTTAACTGATTTGTAAAGCTTTAAGAGTCACAAAGAAAATCTCAATCCAGGAGAGTCCAAAACAGAAGTCAAAGTTCCTTAGTCCATACAACAAATGCTGTTAATAATTCTGTTCTTAGCTTTTAATTCTGATATTCAGTATTACATTTTTAAGCAAGGGTGCTTTGTTTGCAGAGGTGTTAACCTGGATGAGGAAGGCAGAGCGGGTTGATACACAGGTAATTCGATGTAAAAACATAAAACCATTTAAGTAATTGTTCACTTTAGTAGGACCATTTTGATTACCTTTGCCTTTTTGGAAATGAGGTTGCCCATGCTTCAGTCTTGAGAGGAGAAAGAAGGGGAGCCTGACTTTCTGGGGCTTAGTGTTTCCTACTCTTCTTACACCTGTATTTCTCCTTGCTGTGCAAAGTATTGAAAACTTTTTTGTCATGAAGTTGGCCTCCACAGAGATCCTTTTATTTTATAGAGAGTGACCAGATCTTTTTTTTTTTTTTTTTTTTGGTACTGTGAATCGAACTCAGGACCTTGTGCTTGGCAGGCAGGCGCTTGTGCCACTGAGCTATATCCCTGGCCCTTGACCAGATCTTTTAGAAGGAAAAGTTGATAAGATGTTTCAGGTATTTTTTCTTTAATCTATTGAATGTCTGAAACTTCCTTTTGGAAAAAAGGCTCCTTTCTAGCTGTAGAGAACATGGTTCAAGGAATCAGAAGAGTGGTGTCCCAGCTCTCATCTGCGACATTTTCAGACACATGCTTGAAGGTTTGGCTGTGCAGGTGGATGGCAGAGACATGGGCATCTGCTGCTCCAGTGCTTTCGTTCCTGGAGTTTGTGTCTTGATTCCTGATGTGAAATGTTTGTTTTTGTTTCCAGCTCTCGTGCTCATGCACCCATGATTGCTGTAGGAAGTGATGATAACAGTCCAAACGCCATGGCCAAGGTCCAGATTTTCGAATACAATGAAAACACCAGGTCAGTACTGTTTCAGTGTTAATTATTGCTCAGAATTGCACTTAATTTCTTTTTGAGACAGGGTCTTACTATGCAGTTCACGCTGGCCTTGAGCTCACTTTGTAGCCCAGGATAGTCTCGAACTCCCAAGGATCCTCCTGCCTCAGCTTTCTGAGTGCCGGGATTACAGGTGTGTACCACCAAGCCTGGCGCACTTAATTTTAAAATATCATTCCTTTGTTAGCTGAATTATATCTCATTATATACCTGTTGATTTCCTGTGACATGTCAGCCTTGAAGAATGTGGGCTTGAAGAGAAGGGGATTGATCTCCCACTGTGAACTATCTTGCAGGGGAAAGAAAAAATAATACTAAAAAAAAGGATGAATTTTGTGAACTGACTGATGCAAGGTGGTGGTGAAGAGTTTCTGTGTGGAGGAACCTAATCGAGGAAGGATTAGGGGACCAAGATGGTCACTAAGAGGAGGACCTACAATGGAGTAGATGTCAGCAAGACAGGCCCAGGAACAAGGATGAGCCAGCTGTGACTACAGCGGCAGAGGGCATGTGTAGAGAAACAGGAAGCTCACAGGAGATCTGGAGCCCAGGGCAGTGGCACCTGCAGGTCACATGAATGGGAGTAACAGCACCAGAGGGTGGGACGTGTGTGCGGGGGACATGAGCAGAGTCAGGTAAGGCGCTTCCACTGTTATCCAGGTGGGAGGAGCCAGTGGCTTTGGAAGAGAACGGCGGCAGTAGAGATGGAGAGCAGTGGGCCATTTGAAATAAGTGGTGTCACAAGGATCCAGTGATGAATTGGAGAGGGACAGAAGGTTTCAAGATAATACAAGTATGGGGATGGGGATTTAGCTCAGCGGCACAGCGCCTGCCTGGCAAGCGCAATGTCATGAGTTCGATTCCTGGTACCAGGAAAAAAAAAAAAAAGATAATACAAGTATGGTGCACACATGTGGGTTGCAGGGCACTTTCAGTGTTAGGAATTTAGGTATCATGAAAAGGGGCTGCACCTTTAATTAACATCAGCACTATTTTGCGAATGAGAAAACTGAGACCAACAGAGCAAAGTGACCAGTCTGAGTCTAATGTAAGAGTCAGGAAGAGAAACAGGATTTCTGTAATTTATTCCTTAGTTTATTGTCATTCAGTTCCTTCAGCTATGAAAAGCCTTAAATAACCACTATTAAGGTGTATAGTTTGTCTTAGGTAAGGGAAAAAACATCTCCGACTTTTTGAACAGCGTGTATGAACTGCAGGCAGAGGGGAGAGCCTGAGCAAGACCCTGGGCATGGTGCCAGTCGAGGAGGATGGTAGAGAGAGGTGTGGATGCGGATTGTGTTGCTTGCCAGGCTTGCTCTGTTCCTGCCAGCATTTGGGCTTCTGAAGGGTACGGTAGTGTGACCTGCATTTACCTTGGGAAGACAGCTCTGGCAGCTGTGAAGTGGGGAAAGTGAAGCTTAGTGTGTGGAGAGAGGGGCTGGGTGCTTAGTGTCTTAGGACCTCTCCAAGAGGGTGGTGCCTCTGCTGTGTCACTAGCTGTGTGTCCAGGAGTCGTGGCTTCTGGTGGCAGAGGGGGAGATGCTCACTGGGGCCTCTCAGTGTGAGCACTTTGGGACACCTGGGTGGGAAGATCCATGACGGGCAAGTGGGTAGAGTAGCTGTCCAGCAACATCACAATCTTGGTGGCCTTCGTTAGCTCACAGTCTCTGTGGGTGGGAGTCAGGCCCCATGGGGAAGGGTGTATGTCCCTCAGACTCTCCACAGTGGCCTGGCGCTGAGGTCGGGGTGGTGTCCTAGGCACTGCGTAGTCTGCCTCAGTGCTGCTGTTTCTTACTAAAACTGGCAGAAGTCTCAGACACTGACTATAGAGCATGTGCGCTTCACTTTCCTGGGTCTTGTCCTGGCAGCTAGCATTGGACTGCAGGTGATACTTTATTAATCAGGGTTTACTAGAGAAACATATAACACAACGTATAGAAATGTATAAGAAATTACAAGTTTGGCTTACAGTGATCAGCCACAGAGTTAGATGAGGAAGTGTGCAGAGGGTGTCTGCATGCTGGAGGCTGA